ATGTTGAGGAAGAAAGGGAGGCGGTAATTTCATGCACTGGCCAGGGAGGTATACCATCTTTTAGGAGTGAAGAAGAGCAGAATGTAAGTGTGGTGGAGGTACGTGAGGCATTACGTAGAATGAAAGGGGGTAAAGTAGCTGGAACTGATGGGATCATGACAGAAATGTTAAAAGCAGGGGGGGATATAGTGTTGGAGTGGTTGGTACTTTTTGTTTAATAAATGTATGAAAGAGGGAAGGTACCTAGGGATTGGCAGAGAGCATGTATAGTCCCTTTATATAAAGGGAAAGGGGACAAAAGAGATTGTAGAAATTATAGAGGAATAAGTTTACTGAGTATACCAGGAAAAGTATACGGTAGGGTTATAATTGAAAGAATTAGAGGTAAGACAGAATGTAGAATTGCGGACGAGCAAGGAGGCTTCAGAGTGGGTAGGGGATGTGTAGATCAAGTGTTTACATTGAAGCATATATGTGAACAATATTTAGATAAAGGTAGGGAAGTTTTTATTGCATTTATGGATTTAGAAAAGGCATATGATAGAGTGGATAGAGGAGCAATGTGGCAGATGTTGCAAGTATATGGAATAGGTGGTAAGTTACTAAATGCTGTAAAGAGCTTTTATGAGGATAGTGAGGCTCAGGTTAGGGTGTGTAGAAGAGAGGGAGAATACTTCCCGGGAAAAGTAGGTCTTAGACAGGGATGTGTAATGTCACCATGGTTGTTTAATATATTTATAGATGGGGTTGTAAAAGAAGTAAATGCTAGGGTGTTCGGGAGAGGGTGGGATTAAATTATGGGGAATCAAATTCAAAATGGGAATTGACACAGTTACTTTTTGCTGATGATACTGTGCTTATGGGAGATTCTAAAGAAAAATTGCAAAGGTTAGTGGATGAGTTTGAGAATGTGTGTAAAGGTAGAAAGTTGAAAGTGAACATAGAAAAGAGTAAGGTGATGAGGGTATCAAATGATTTAGATAAAGAAAAATTGGATATCAAATTGGGGAGGAGGAGTATGGAAGAAGTGAATGTTTTCAGATACTTGGGAGTTGACGTGTCGGCGGATGGATTTATGAAGGATGAGGTTAACCATAGAATTGATGAGGGAAAAAAGGTAAGTGGTGCGTTGAGGTATATGTGGAGTCAAAAAACGTTATCTATGGAGGCAAAGAAGGGAATGTATGAAAGTATAGTAGTACCACTACTCTTATATGGATGTGAAGCTTGGGTGGTAAATGCAGCAGCGAGGAGACGGTTGGAGGCAGTGGAGATGTCCTGTCTAAGGGCAATGTGTGGTGTAAATATTATGCAGAAAATTCGGAGTGTGGAAATTAGGAGAAGGTGTGGAGTTAATAAAAGCATTAGTCAGAGGGCAGAAGAGGGGTTGTTGAGGTGGTTTGGTCATTTAGAGAGAATGGATCAAAGTAGAATGACATGGAAAGCATATAAATCTATAGGGGAAGGAAAGAGGGGTAGGGGTCGTCCTCGAAAGGGTTGGAAAAAGGGGGTAAAGGAGGTTTTGTGGGCGAGGGGCTTGGACTTCCAGCAAGCGTGCATGAGCGTGTTAGATAGGAGTGAATGGAGACGAATGAAACTTGGGACCTGACGATCTGTTGGAGTGTGAGCAGGGTAATATTTAGTGAAGGGATTCAGGGAAACCGGTTATTTTCATATAGTCGGACTTGAGTCCTGGAAATGGGAAGTACAATGCCTGCCCTTTAAAGGAGGGGTTTGGGATATTGGCAGTTTGGAGGGATATGTTGTGTATCTTTATACGTATATGCTTCTAAACTGTTGTGTTCTGAGCACCTCTGCAAAAGCAGTGATAATGTGTGAGTGTGGTGAAAGTGTTGAATGATGATGAAAGTATTTTCTTTTTGGGGTTTTTCTTTCTTTTTTGGGTCACCCTGCCTCAGTGGGAGACGACCGACTTGTTGAAGAAAAAAAAAATATATATATATATATATATATAATGCATATGTGCAAAACAACCACTGTGAAAAAATAGTGAGTTTCCAAGCGCTTTCTTGATTTCACACATTTATATATATCGTGCCGAATAGGTAAAACTTGCGATTTGGCTTAAATAACAATGCTCTTGCCGAATAGGGCAAGCGAAAATTTGTGTATGCAATAATTTCACAAAAGTCATTCTGAAACTTACGAAAAAAATATATATTTCATTGTGTTTGTTTAATATTAAATTATTTTAAACTTATGTAAAATATATTTCGTTGGATTAGGCTAAATTAAATTGTGCTTGTTATAATAAGGCTAGGTAAGTTTTCTACGGTTCTTTTGGTACAAAATGATTTATTTGTACATTAACATGAATGAAAAAATATATATTTTAAACGTATATGAGAAAATTTTTGAAAGGACTTAATTTTAAATGAGTTCTTGCTAATTGAAAGAAGAGGAACTGATTCGCCATCTTTTATTTGACAGTTGTTTTGATAGACGTGTGCAAACATCAAGCTTGAAATGACTGGATTAACTAAAATAAACCCCACCTCTCCTTCAGAGTGCAGGCGCTGTACCTCCCACCTCCAGGACTCAAATTCCAGCTAACCGGTTTCCTCTAAATCCCTTCATAAATGTTACCTTGTTTTTTTTTCCCAGTGGGCATTAAACCATAAAACCCACTTGTATCCACTCTTGTCTAACACACTCAAGCCGCTGGATGCTCAAAAACCTGACATCAAAAAGCTATCATTTCCCCTTCTTCCCAACCCTTCCTGGACAACTCCTACCCATCATCCTTCCTTCTACTCCAGCCCAGACCTCAAGAACCCCTTCTCAGCCTTCTGAATCAAGTCTGGCCACCCGTCCCTTAATTTCTACCCTCCACATTATATGCATAATATTCACACCATGAACATGACATCAGCATTGCCTCCTCTCCTCGTTGCAACGTTCAGCAGCAGTTGGAGCTACTCACACTAAGAAGTAAACCTGCAGTTGCCTAGACGTAGCCTCGGTCCTCAGTGCTCCTTATACACAAAAGTGAATATTTTATTTATATAAACAATGTTCACACTCATATAAAGGTGCTGCTACCCCTACACTACTCTGGTACATTACTCCCATTTTGCCTCCATAAATTTCTTAACACAGATGCCTCAGCACATCACTTACCTTTTTACCCTTGTCAGTTCTTCAGGTATGTGTGCGTTGCTCACACTAACATAATGAAAGACTGCAGTAATGTACTGGTCTTTCATGGGTACAGTGGCACCCATAGTGTATTGTACAGATCCTTATCCAGGATGCCATCAAGAACAGTCGACTAGCACCCTGGTACGTATTTACTGCTAGGTGAACAGGGGCAGAAGATATTAGACTTGACTATTACGTCCCTCCTCACCCCGGATTGATCCTTCCTGGGATGTGAGCTAATTGCTCTGTCATTGAGCTGGAAGGTACCTTTGACTTGAAGGTAAATGACTACTCTCCCTTGTGCAGCGCTGTCCTCATCAACTATGTCAGTCATCTTACTGACTTATTATGATGAAGATGCCAGACCTGTACTTAACACAAAAACAACCATTGTTATTGCTTGTTTAGTCTAATGCATAACGATTATCTTTCATAATTATTACTTTTAGCAATTAATACTTTTCAAAAATACCTTTCAAAATGTTTATTGCTGTTTATGTTTAATAATTACTCTGTAATTTTTAATAAATACACTTGTATAATAATTGCCATTTATATTAGATACCTTTCATACTTATGTTTCTAATAATTGCCTTCTAATATCTAATAATTACCTCATAACAAGGCATTAAGAACATTTTCCTATTGCGCAAAGTGAACCAGTACTACTAGTTACTCCACATCACGACTCGTGCAGTCGTTGGGAAGAGTGAACTGCTAAGTAAACTGCACTTATCCTGAAGAAGAAGGGGGGAGGGATTACTGATAAGTAGTAGCTGATAAAAACACAAAAACAACGATTGTCGCCTACACAGCAGGTAGGCGAAGAAGTCTGCTGTGTAGGCAATACATTGCTTAAGTAAAGTTTCCAGTTGCTATTTTTGTATCGTCATCAACTTGAACCCATGTTGCTTTCAATAAATTTCTCAATTTACTTTATTCAGATTTGGTTATGCTAGATTGTTGTCTATTAACAAACTGATCAATTATAACACACCGTAACGCTAGTGTATGCAGTAAAACATAATGGACAGTCAGCATTACTGGACACCTCTTCCCTCCCTAATTAGTCCATTAAATCGAGGTGTCACTATGAGTATAAATAATAGAAGTCCTCAGGTTCTTCAACTCTATATATCCTTGGTTAGGCCTCATTTAGATTATGCTGCACAGTTCTGGTCACTGTATTACAGAATCAGCGCTGTATGGCCCTTGTGGTTTAGCGCTTCTTTTTGATTATAATAATAATGTATTACAGAATGGATATAAATGCACTGGAAAACGTACAATGGAGGATGACAAAGTTGATCCCATGTAACAGAAATCTTCCCTGTGAGGATAGATTGAGGGCCCTGAATCTGCACTCTCTCGAAAGGCGTAGAATTAGGGATGATATGATCGAGATGTATAAATGGAAAACAGGAATAAATAAAGGGGATGTAAATAGCGTGCTGAAAATTTCCAGCCAAGACAGGACTCGCAGCAATGGTTTCAAGTTGGAAAAATTCAGATTCAGGAAGGATATAGGAAAGCACTGGTTTGGTAATAGAGTTGTGGATGAGTGGAACAAGCTCCTGAGTACAATTATAAAGGCTAAAATGTTGTGTAGTTTTAAAAATAGGTTAGATAAATACATGAGTGGGTGCAAGTTGAACCTGACTGGCTTGTGCTGCTAGGTCTGATGGCGTGCTTCTTCCTTAAGTGGAAGTGACCTAACTAGGTGGGTCATTGGGATAATCCTGGGGGGGGGGACATGGACCTGCTTTGCATGGGTCAGTAGGCCTGTTGCAGTGTTCCTTCTTTCTTATGTTTCTAATTTTTTAATTTCTTGTTTACAGATAATGGGTGTGGAATTTATCTACTTTGTACAGACCAACACCCTTGACCAGAGAAACCGAACTCTCACAATAGAAGCTTACAACGAGAGTTTTTCTTCTCGTGTTGCAATACTTGAGAACTGCCGCTATACAGTAGGTATCTTTGTACATATTATTAGTGAATTCTTTAGGATTAGTGAGGTAAAAATCTCATTGGTTATAATCATAACCATAATTTCTAAAGGGGTGGACTGGTAAGCTAGCGGAAGGCCTCGGTTAGGTGACCAAAAGCTCCAGCTGCGGGTCATCATATGACTAAGACCTGTGTCAGGCAAAAAGTGTCCAGTTTCCTGACAAATCTTACCTAACCTAACCTTAGTGAGGCAGTCCATTCAGGCTGTCCTAGGGAGGAGCAAACTCGGGCTTTGGATTCAGTCTTGAATCTTGGCATGTGTAGAAATGGATAAGGGGTTACAGAATAGAGCAATTATTAATTGATGAAATTAAGACATGTGCAACATCTGGGTATCTTTACTGTAGACGTTTCGCCCTCCAGTGGCTTTATCAATACAAATTCCAGGACATAATTTGAATACAGTAGAACTATATACAGTGCTCTTTGCACTAACTCCAAGGCTGAGAGACTGATTACCTCATCTTCTGTATATAGTTCTACTGTCTTCAAAGTATGTCCTGGAATTTGTATTGATTTTTTGGGGGGAAAACCCAGCCTATTAAATCATCATCATTTAATAGACTGGCTTTTCCCAAAAAAATCAGAAACTGTTAAATTTATTGTTTGATATAAAGCAGCTTTATTTGGTGTGGCTGTGTAGTTGCTACCATAATTAGATTTATCACGTATGTTATTCCTTGTAACAGGTCCATCCAGAGAACAGTGAGTGGACGTGCTTTGAGCAAACAGCCACATTAGACATCAAATCATTTTTTGGATTTGAGAGCACTGTGGAAAAGATTGCTATGAAGCAGTACTCACAGAACATAACAAAGGTGAGCACTCTCATATACTGTACATATGCATGAGCATATTTGATAGGAGTGAAGGGAGACAAATGGTTTTTAATACTTGACGTGCTGTTGGAATGTGAGCAAAGTAACATTTATGAAGGGATTCAGGGAAACCAGCATGCCGGACTTGAGTCACGAAGATGGGAAGTACAGTGTCTACACTCTGAAGCCCCTCAAGGAAGGTTCCTTGATGTTGGTGAGGGGCTCTTGATTTAGGGAATTGGATCTGTGCTCCAGTTCCCCAAATTAAGCCTGAATGCCTTCCACATCCCCCCCAGGCGCTGTATAATCCTCCGGGTTTAGCGCTTCCCCCTTGATTATAATAATAATAATACACTCTGAAGGAGGGGTGTTAATGTTGCAGTTTTATAACTGTAGTATAAAGCACCCCTCTGGCAAGACAGTGATGGGTTGAATGATGATGAAAGTTTTTCTTTTTTGGGTCACCCTGCATTGGTGGGAATCGGCCTGCTGTATAGTCCTTGTGGCTTAGCGCTTCTTTTTTGATTATAATAATAATAATGGGAATCGGCCGATGTGTTAAAAAAAAAATAGGTACATAATTAAAAATACATTTATTTTTAGAGGTCAACAAAGCCACTCTTAATGTAATACAGTGGACCCCCGCATAACGATTACCTCCGAATGCGACAAATTATGTAAGTATATTTATGTAAGTGCGTTTGTACGTGTATGTTTGGGGGTCTGAAATGGACTAATCTACTTCACAATATTTCTTATGGGAACAAATTCGGTCAGTACTGGCACCTGAACATACTTCTGGAGTGAAAAAATATCGTTAACCGGGGGTCCACTGTATATGATTGCTTGAAGACTGAGCTGTAATTAGTACAGTAGAATTCAAGCTTCTTAATTAATAACATAAGTTTGTCATTGTTATAATGAGTTCTGGATAAGTTTGTGTTGCATTCTTATTTATTTTATCTGTGGGGAATTTATCCATTTTAAATCCATTAATTTTTATAGAATTGAATTAATATAATATTATACCATAGAAGATAAGTTTTTAATGCAGTAATTTCCATATGTTTAATTCAATGTTGTATGCAGCATGCTTGTTCAGCATCTTTTGTGCTTTTGTTTGTTTAATATTGGTGGCATTGCATTAAGTTTAATAGGTTACTGCTCTATAATAGAACCATAATACAGTACACGTACAGTATTTATTTATAAAACATATTTAAGTGATAAAAGTGGCTCTTGAATTTAAATACGTGGTTCCTTTGCAAAATAATGCATGTATACAGCTCGTTACAGGTGATCTGTTATATCCAAATTTTGACAGTCTGTTTTATGTGATGAGCTGAGAGTGAGAGTTGCATCACAATAAAGGCTTGTGCTTCTACTGGGTACGTGTCAGGGAAGTGCCTCATTGCCAATCAAGGGCTCTTGATCCAGTGAATAGTAATTACGCCTCCTTTTCTTTGGACTGAATTCAGTTGCATTCCACTCCCCCGAGGCACTGTATAATTCCTTCAGGGTTAATGTTTCTCACTAAATATAATAACAAGTTGTGTCTGTCTTCATACTTGTCAGTAGAATGTCCTCATATATGTTGAACTACATACAAGGATGGTTTATTCAACAGGGCAAGGAAATTATTGAATATTTCATTGACGAGCTTTTTAAAGATGGTATCGCATATATTCCACGATGGAAAGAGCCTTCTCACAAGGCATTGCCAGAAGTTTGTATTATTAAAGATGGCAAGACAGGAGAGAGTGAGGCTGAGAGCAGTTCTGAAGAGACTGAAATAAGGGACCGAACCAGTAGCAGCACGCCGTCCACTGGATCAACAGAACTTCATCTAGGGGCTTCTGCCACAAATCTTCCGAGCATTGACAAGGTCAACCTTAATGAAGGTAAAATCTTGATATTGGTACTGATTGTGTTGTGCAGTGTATACATTGTAAAATAATAATTAATTTATGGAAAAGTTGAGATAGTGGAATGAAAACAGATGGTTAATATTAAATAAACATCGTAAGTGCAGTAACCTAGAAAAGTTACTGATGTAGATTTTAATTGTACAAAATATGTACCAGTATGTTTAATGAAGATGGATTTCTAATTTGCAATTTATTGGTAAGAATGTTTTTTGTTAACATTTAAAGTTGTTTTGCATTTCTAATTGAACTTTATAGAATGCATTGCACAGAAAAAATGTTAATGCCAGAATATGTTTTTATATATTAGTTGACATTTATAGCCCATATCCATTGACAATTACTGTAAACATAAATTATTGGCACCTGAGAAGGGGACTTTTTTTTCATTACCGTCTCTTCTAGCCTTGAACACAGACTTGGACTCATCTGCTCGTTTGACTCATTTTAGCACACTCATTATTGTTGCTTTACCATGCACCTGCATATACACATGGCTCATGGCTATAAATATTGCCATGATTATACTTCATCTTCACAGTTCAATGAGTGAAATACAGTACTGTACAAGCATAACCCATAGGTTCAGTGAGGATGACATGTGAACAGTTGTACTCATGACTAGAACACTGGGCACTGCTGCTATAGAATTTGATACAGGAAATGACTTATGAAATTTCCTTTGGCTGAATTCCAGATGATGCTTTCTTGACTGAGAAAAGGTACATTAAATGGTGTCTGGTTAACCTAGCAGCAGAAGAAGTGGATAATAAACAAACAGATCGGGGTATTGCAATAGCAAATTTGTATTTGAGTTATTGCTTTTACTGTAAACAATCTTATGGCTATAATAGGTAGGCATTAGATCTGAAAGAATACTGCAAAATTAGCATGACTATTTAATTTTTTATTTCAAATGCCCTCCTGCACCATACACTACTATGACTTATTGAAATCGGTACAGTATCTGTAATTTTGTATTACTGACATTCATTTAGCAACATTTCCTAATGCTGTTAATAGTTTGGCACCAGTCATCTTTTATTATTGTTATTTTAACTGCATTCATGGGGGAAACAACCCATGAAGGTCATACAGCACCCTCTGAATGGTAGAATGTTACTATAATACACACTGTAGTTCACTACAGGAAACTTTAAAACTTTATGATAGACTGAATACTGAAGACAGGACACCAGTTTAGCTCTTCTTCTGTAGCTACTAAAAGGTAGTCATAAGCATTATGGATGGGTCACCCTGTACCATATGTATGCAGCATGTGTATGTATGCATAAATGTACTCACATGTATGTATACACATATGTACCCACATGTAGTACTACAGTATCTGACTAACACAGTTCGAAATTGTTTACCTGTTTAGTACATGGTAGGATATGAAGAATTTATTTGCTGGAGGTCTCTTGGGTGATATGTTACCAAATTTTTCTAATGGGATTCTAAAGTTGTTTTTGTAGTTGCTAGATTCTTAGGTACTCACCTAATTGTGGTTGCAGGGGTTGAGTCATAGCTCCTGGCCCTGCCTCTTCACTATTTGTGAAGCCTTGGGTGACATGCACCAACATGCTCCCCTGCCTAGTGCTAAACTGTTTTAACTCCCGTTAGGTTTTATTTTTGTGTTGGGCTCAAATAAAAATACATATAATGTATTCATATACTGTTGTTCCTCAGGTTTCCATAGCAGAGGGAAAGGGAGGGGAAATGAGTGGAACAGATTAGGGAGTCAGCTGGTTAACCCGTAAACGGTCCAAGCAGATCTACGTTCACATGTATATTGCTACAAAAGTAGATCTACGTTTTTTTTACATATTTTCAAATATAACAAAAAAAAGTAGATCAAAGTTTTTTACACATTTTCAAATGTAAAAAAACAAAAAGAAGATCTACTTTTTTTACATATTTTCAAATGTTGAAAAAACGTATATATACGTTTGGACCGTTTACGGGTTAAGTACATGAGTTTTTGTGTGAATTTTATGTTCTGGCTAATTCAGTGGAACACATCACACTTCAGTAAAATGAATTAAAAAGAACCCAAGAAAAACTTTAAAATGATTCTTTATGATCTACCAAAAATGCATAAAAACACTCCACATTTGTCAGTCAGATTGTATTATACAAAGAGCCCATCACAGTGACTACACCAACTCCAAATGACCAAATACTAAAGATAAATGCTTTTGATAGAGTAGCAACTTGGAAAAAATTAAAATACTGTAATACAGACCCCACAAATGATGTTGGGCCACTGCCAGATTGCAAAGGAATTTCAAGTAACATAGGATGAAGGGTAGGGAAAACAATATTTCACTTACCTTTTAAGATTTGGTCACATTTCCACGTGATATTTTATTTTTTATTTTATTTATTTATTTTATGTCTTTGCAAGCAGTACATTGAGATTTTATATTTACAATAGTGGGTTGCAATGCAACCTCTATTATGCCTAGGCATTATGGGCCAACTTAACATTATTGGCTTGCGGACTACTTAACACGATTACCAATTTCAAGCGGTTATGCACAGACTCGGAACACTTTTTAAAGTAAGTTGCATTCATTTCTTGAATCCAAATTATTTTTTTATCTCCTGAGTCAAGCATGGCACTGATTTTTTTTAATGGAGTTTTAATAATAATAATAATAATAATATCTTTATTTTTACAAGTTTATGCAGAAGGTATACAGGCCTAGCTGACATCAATGATATACTACTATATAGAAAGCCGCTTGTTATGTAGAGCATTTTGGGGAAATTAGGTCAGTTTTGTCCCAGGATGCGACCCACACCAGTCGACTAACACCCAGGTACCCATTTTATACTGATGGGTGAACAGGGACAGCAGTGTCTTATGGAAACATGTCCTAATATTTTCCAGCCACACCGGAGATTCGAATTCTGGACCTCAGTGTGTGAGCTGAGTGTGCTAGCGATCGAGCTTTCATTCCAACACATTTAAATGGGATTTAGATCAGGGCTGTTCCCTGCCCACTGGATAGCATTGATATTGAAGATGAAGAATTAAATACATGTGCAGTATTTGGGTATCTTTATCGTAGACATTCCGCCATCCAGTGACTTTATCAATACAAATAAAGCCAACGTCTACAATAAAGATACCCAGATGTTGCACATGTGTCTAATTCTTTATCTTGTCGGTATTGTATACCATACATGTACAGCATTGATATTGTTCCTATGTAATCATTTTTTGACCTGATTTGACATGTTGCTTGAGGCACTGTCTTGCATAAAGTGTGTGATGCCATGAATCTTGTGGAATGCAAGGAAATGTTCGTTAAGCACATCTACTGTATACAGGCCTCCCTCCACGTTTGCAAGTTCCACTTTCAAGGGCTTCAAACATTTGCGAATGCCCAGTTTCCCAATGATGTTTAAATTATGTTATTACATATGTTAGGAATTGTGGCGGTGGAAGAGTTTGTTTGGAGATAGGACAAGATAGTCCTTCAATATGGCACTAATATCAACTCTACAGTTTATTTATCAAACACAATTCATCTAATATGATATAATAAACAATATTAATAACATAGAAACATGACATATACTCTAGCATGAATAAAATATGTCATTAAATATGTCACGAGTGTTGTTGTTGTTGGGTGTATAAGGGCCACTGAGAGCATAAGCCTTACATAGTGATGGTGATGGTGGTAGCAGAGATGGTACAGGTGGCAGTGTTGTCAGTCACCCTATATAACTCCAGCAACATTAGAGGAGTTAGGTTCATGGTGTCCTTTTTGTCTCGATTAATCGCTTAACTTACTTGCTACACTGTTAATACTACACTTTATCGCTGGCTGGCGCTATAGCCTTTATCGACTCGTGCTGCTTTGATATCGTATATATCGTAGAATCACTGAATCACTGACAAGGGCACATTCTCCCCTCTCTCTTCCTCCTCCACTTTGGTACTTTGCTACGAGTTCTTTGTTGAATTCTATAGTCTTTCTCACCTTTACCAAAGGGCTGGCACTAGTACAATATTTTATGATGTTTTCATGTGTTTTATGATTGTTCATGGTTCAATAGTTAAGGAAACAGTATTGTTAGGCTAAGTAAATGCTCTTATTATATTTCCCTACAATAGTGCACCAAACATTCATGATTTTTTGACATTCACGAGGTTCTTGATCCCCTAACCCTTGCAAATGTGGAGGGAGACCTGTACAGATACAGTACCTTCAGTGATGGGTCGCATGCAACCCAATGTCATTTGCAGAGTCTGTATGAACCCACGTACACAAAGAACAAAAGTTTATAACAAATCTAATTGGATCTGGTTAGGTTGGAAGCAAAAAATAAGTTTACAAAGTCATGTTGACTACATTGATTAAAAATAAATCTACTTTGAGTAAACAGTGTCCAAATCAAGGCTGCATACTTCTGAATTGTCCACATTGGAGTTAATGGCAGCAGTGTAATTTTAATGTAAGCTTCCTCTTCCTTATAATACACTGTAGAATTATTACAGTTGCATTAAGACATATTTTTTTTTTTTAACAAGTCAGCCAGCTCCCACTGAGGCAGGGTGACCCAAAACGAAAGAAAATTCCCATAAGAAAATACTGTCATCATTCAACACTTTCACCTCACTTGTACATAATCACTGTCTTTGCAGAGGCGCCCAGATACAACAGTTTAGAAGCATAAACGTACAGTGGTACAACGAGTTTCGGCCATAATTCGTTCCAGAAAGCTGTTTGAGTGCCATTACTGAACGAATTTGTTCCCATAAGAAATAATGTAAATTAGATTAGTCCGTTTCAGACCCCCAAAATTACACTTACAAAAGCACTTATAATAATACACTTAAATAATTGTTCGAGTTGGGAACTGTACAAAACTCGGGGTACCACTGTATGAAGATATATAACATACCCCCTCCAGACTGCCAATATTTCAAACCCCTCCTTTATAGTGCAGGCATTGTACTTCCCATTTCCAGTACTCAAGTCCGGCTATATAAAAACCAGTTTCCCTGAATCCCTTCACTAAATATTACTCTGCTCACACTCCAGCAGCTCATCATGTCCCAAAAACCATTCGTCTCCATTCACTCCTATCTAACACGCTCACACAGGCTTGCTGGAAGTCCAAGCCCCTCGCCCACAAAATCTCCTTTACCCCCTCCCTCCAACCTTTGTGAGGATGACCCCTACCCTGCCTTCCTTTCCCTACAGATTTATATGCTCTCCAAGGTATTACTTTGATCCATTCTCTCTAAATGCCCAAACCACCTCAACAGCCCCTCTTCAGCCCTCTGACTAATATTTTTATTAACTCCACACCTTCTAATTTCACACTCCGAATTCTCTGCATAATACTATTTACACCACACATTGCCCTTAGATAGGACATCTCCGCTGCCTCCAGCCACCTCCTTGCTGCAGCATTTACAACCCAAGCTTCACACCCATATAAGAGTGTTGGTACCACTATACTTTCGTACATTCCCTTCTTTGCCTCCATGGATAACGTTTTTTGTCTCCATGGATACCTCAATGCACCACTCACCTTTTGTCCTTCATCAATTCTGTGGTTAACCTCATCCTTCATAAACCCATCCTCTGAAATATCAACTCCCAAATATCTGAAAACATTTACTTCTTCCATACTCTCTCTCTCCAATGTGATATCTAATTTTTCTTTATCTAAATCATTTGATCTATGTTCACTTTCAACTTTCTACCTTTACACACCCTCCCAAACTTGTCCACTAACCTTTGAAACTTTTCTTTA